CCCCTATATCATCAGATTATATTTAGCATACATATTATGAAGTCAGATTCTTTATCCTCCTATCTTCCTCTCCTCTTCACTTCTCATCTCCCAAAGCACGCTCTCCCACTCACCCCTCTTCTTCTCTAATTCTTGTGTACACACACGCATACCACACACACACACGCGCGCGCGCGCGCATGTGTGCTTGTGGCAGAGGCCAAAGAACAAGATTAGTATCTGGGAAGCTAGAACTCCAGCCTTGCCTCCCTCTGTCTCGTCAGCCAAGCCACTCCTCTCAACTTCCTCACTGGTTAACACACTCATTCCCTATGGTCTCATCTCTTTATAAAAGTATAAAACTAAATGTTTATCATCAAATATTTTTCTACTTTCATATCTATACTTCCCTGAATAAAGTGTGGTATGATATTATCTGGTTACTTTGATGCCTCAACACCACCAGTGATTTCAAGCCTCTCCTTGTCCAGTACGGAAGCGGTTACTAGCCTCATGCGGCTACTGAGCAACTGATATATGGCTGGCGTGACTGAGGAGCTAAATTTTAATTTAATTTAAAAGCTGAAGCTGGGGAACAAGTACACAATTTTTACTGTTTCAGTAGGACCGGATTTCACTTTAACCACTGAAACTTTAATGTCTTAATTGAGATGTTTAACATACACACCAGGTTTCAAAGTCTTAGTTTAAAGACAAGAATATAAAAGATCTCATTAATGGTGTGTATTAACTACATGCTGATATGATAATATTTTGGATTTATTGGTTTAAATACAATATATTATTAAAATTAATTTCACCTGTGTCTCTTTTTGGGAAATCTTATTGTGACTACTAGAAAATCTAAAGTTCCATCTGTGAATTGCATTCTATTCCTCCTGGTCAGGGCTGCTCTCACTCCCTCTCTTACTGATGTCGTAGGCCCAGAGTGGGTCTGGATATCTGTGTCTTCAGGTGATCTCAAGTCCAGTTGCTGCTGAGAACAACTGCCAAAAGCTGCAGCAAAGTCTTTTTACAGCAACCCTTTAGTTGGTGAGTTATTTTCTAATATAATAATATTAGATAGTCTTGCCTTCTTTTGTGTGTGTGGGTTTTTTTTTTTTTTTGTCATTTCTCCCCATCGCAACTGAAAAAAAGTCAAGTTTTAATTTATCCCCACTTTATAAGACCCAAATATTGGAGAAGAGTTGTTATATCTAACTCATTTTAAATGTCAGCGTAAAACTATAAGTCTGGGGTAAGAATAATACAAATTATTTTCCATAGAGACAAGAGATCACCTTCAGAAAGCCAGCCATCCTCCTGCCCACTTCAGGGAGTGGGCGATCCAGAGGTGAAAAGGCACTGCTTTCGCTTTTTTTGTTTTGCTATGGGGGTTTTTGTGAGGATGGTGAGGCCAATTATAACAAGGATGAAAAGACTGTGGGAGGGAAGCGTGGTGGGCATAGCAGATCACCATTTGACATCGCTTCTCTGCAGTCGAACTTGCCTGAACCTATTCAGAGGACTGTTCTCCTTCTACAGAGGAGGCACTGAGGTCTGGAGAATTTGAGCAACTTTCCCAGGTCAAATAGCTGGTAAGTGGTAGAGCTAGAATGAGAATTCATATCTGCTCAACTCTAAAGCTCATGCTTTTAGATACTACACACACAGTCTACATTATGAAGACTTTCTTTAGCTTGATTAATGAAGCTTCACTGATCTATTCATTTAGCCAACAAATATTTATTGAATATTTGTGCAATGTATAAACAATATGTGTGATATATAAATAAGAGGGACATTGCCCCTGCCCCACATTTAAGCTCGTTTTTGAAAGGCTCAAATTTCTTATCAATCTAATTTATGAGATACAAAATGAAGTGGAAAATTGACAATTATTTGCTTACTTCAATCAATACAGATGGCAAACCAGATCATTTAGGATTGATCCAGTTAACCCCAAACTGGCAGAGGTACAAGCATTTTATGTTCTCACTCTATTTCTAATTCAAGATGTTTTATTAGCTTCAGACATAATAAAGGACTACTAAAATAGGCACAGAATCAAGCAGTGACAGCCTACATTTTAACTAATAGAATAACGAAGTAGTCAATCCTGAGTTAGGCTAGTATGTTAGTATATTTTCTTTCAGCATATTTACTTAGTTACATAACTATTCACTCTATAAAACTCTTTACCCACTATTTTTTGGCAGTAGCCCTCCAAAACTCTGTGGCTTTGCCGATATAATACAAGCATATTGCTTATTCTTCTTCTTTACAAAACTTAATAAAGTTTCAACACTTTAAATCAATTTCTCTTTGGACCGGCTCTCCATTACCAACCCCTAGTGGAACTGCTATTAAAATGCAAGCTGGATATTTCTGACTTAAAACACCAAAATATTTAAACCTCCTTTAAAATACCAAAATAATCTTCTTTCCCTTCTACACCTTGTCTACACTGAATCATCTCCTTTGGGACTCTGGACCATGTTATGTTCATCTACATAGCTCTTCACCTTGCTTAAAACAGTGCTTTCCACATAGTAAAAATCCTAATAAAGAGGCATAAATAAAATATCTTTAAGGGAAGCCAAGAAGCCTAGGATTCTTCTCTCATTTTGATTTTTTTTTTCAATTCATGTGGCAAATGATATTATTTTTAGTATGGGCTATAATTTCCACTGTGACCAGATATGCTGCCAGGTTGGTTCTCATGAGTTTGAGTTTGGGAGCAACTTCTCCTCTCCGGGAAGGTTACATATCCATTTGGGTTGCAGACTGAGAGCTTGAGGCATAACTCCACTAACTGGAAGGGGGCTTTTCTAATATTTATAGAACAGGAACCCCAAAAGAATCATCTTTCTCTGATACTGTCAAGACAGGTCCAAAAATTTTTTTCTTTGAATTAGGAAAAAAATTTAAAAAGGAAGTGAGAATAAACTAGGAAAGAAAAAGCATTCATTCTTCAGAGGCTTAGAAGAAAAGTCAGGAAAGTTCTAAATCACTAAATTTCATTATTAAAAGACTGACTTTAGTTTATCCAAGCTGTGGAACCATTTTCATTAGAAATAAAATAAGTATCAATGATAATTTGATAGGATTGGTATAATTCAATAATTAAATAGTGGAATCAATGGTTGAACTAGTTGCCTTTCAGTGTGTGTATATATATATATACACACACACACACATTTATGTTTGTATATATGCATATATTTTTAAATTAAATACTGAGACATATATTACATATACATGATATATATGTGTATGTATATATATATATGGAAAGAGAGAGCCATAGTAATTTAAATCATGTTTTTATTATTCTCATCCTCTATCACAATGTAAGTGAAGTTTGATAAAAATTCTAGAAGCCTGGGAAGCCATGAACTTCTATTTTTCATGCATACTTATTAAACTTACACATTGAAGGAAACATCTTGAGGCCCTTGAGCCTATTCAATTTTTCTTTTTAATTACAGAGTAAAAATGCTTATGAACATTTTGTAACGTCAATTGACAGTCTCCACGTAAATGATCTCTCTCTCACATACATTAATATGTAAAATATATTGTCTGTCGCTTCCTCTTATGCACATCTGTCAACATCAACGTCTTATGGATACTGAGAAGGGTACAGAGTTGAGGGAAGAGTTCACACTGAACTAAAATTTTTTTTGGATCGTTTTTACTCACTGACACTTATTGAACGTGTTCGCTAACTAACATTACATTGCTTTTCAGTTGATCTAAGTTTCTGGGAAACAGCAATGTTCCAGAAGCTATGTAAATAAGAAGTTTTCAATGTCCCCAAAGAATAAAACAGGTAGGTATAAAGCTCGAAGGTACTTTACTGTAATCCTTTCTCCAGGGCAAAAAAAGATCCAGGTCTGGATCCTGAGTCATCCTCTTTTTAACTGGGAAAGTTATTTAACTTTTCTCAAAATTTCTAAACCCCTCTGAAGTCAGTGTGAAGATCAACACAAATAATTTCACATATAACATCACGTAATACAGAACCTTACAAAAAGGAAGCACTGAATAAATGAGAATTAATATTAATTTTTGTGTTGTTATTGGGGAAAAGTGTGATTACAAGGGTAGGAGGTGGGGACATCTAGATCTATTAGTATAGGCACGTTCTTTATTTGAAGCAGACATAGGATGTTTTGTATTGTCCTAAGCCATAATAGAAGCAAAGTAAGTTTGTTAGTATGGGATTAATTTAAATACAGCACAAAATTGACTAAGAGAACAGCCAGCACTGTTAAACAGGAACCGGGCCAATTTTGCAGAGCACGGAGAACTCTATGCCTCTAGTAATTATAAAGATAATTCACAAAAACTATTTGCATTCTATTAATACGCGTGTTTTGTAAGTTGATGGTGTGTGTCCATCAATTTAAGAAGCAGCTTAGTAAAGCGGTTAGCACAGACTTTAAAGCAGCCAGTGGTGTGCTGGCGTTGGCATTGGACATAATGAATAATTAAATGTTCAGGTATTGTAAGCCTGTTATTAAACCACTGGTAGCTTGAAATCAACCATGGTATACCGAGCATTGACACCAGGGCAATTGGCAAGTGCGACAGATCCAGGGTCCCCCTCTCCCCACCGAAGACCTGGTTTACCAGTAAACTACTGATGCAGACACATATATATTTAACTGCCAGCTTTAACACTTACTGTTTTATAGCCCTTAGCAAGTTATTTTGCCTTTCTCTCCTGCAATTTCCTCATCTAGAAAATGATATAATTACTTTGTTGTCATAAGGCTGCTCTGAGGATTAAATGAGTTAACTTATCTAACCACCTAATACATACTCTATAAACGGTAGTTCACGTTAATAAGCCAAAATCAGGGAAGAGACAACAATAAAGAGAAAATCAGAAATAAAAGTAAATAAATACTTTCTGAGTGCATGGACTTTTGCTGTATGAACAGGTAGCACTAAGCAAACGGTTCTCAATATAGAATAGGGAAGAAATCCACTCAACGTAAGGGTTCACTCACCATGAAGAGATTGCTGCGGGTTTTTCCACTCTCCTCAAAGCATGAGAGAGGAGCAGCTCTACCAGAGGCACTTTCTTGGTTAGTTTGTTGCTCTGGGACTGGCTCATACAAGCTGTCCATAGAGCCCTCCTGGAATAAAGAGATTTTTGAGTCAAGGAATAACAAAAGGATAACTTTCCTTCACAAGTCATCTAACCTATCGACCCACCTTTTTATAGTACCTTATCTAAATGATCCTGGGCATTGGGATTAAGAGTTCATCGTATGCCAATTTTCAACATTCTCACTACTTATTACAGAGCCAGAAATTCAAACAAGACTCTTAAATGTCTACATTTAAACACAACTACAATAAAGGCATTAATATTAATGTTTACAGTGTTTATATTAATAAATAATACTGTCTACTTGTTTTTATCCCTTCATGGAATAGTGAATTTTAAAATGTATGAGTTTGTATTTAAGACCATTTGAACTATATTGTAAATCTTTGTATTTGGGAAGCAAACTTCTTAACTGAATTGACACATTTTTCCTTCTGAGACAGAACTGGTCTAGCTATGACATCATCTGGAAACATTCTTAAAGGAGAGAGCTACACACTTAGTATACTGAAAATTTCTGGGTGTAGTAACTGGTGATGCTGATAATGGTATCATAAATAGAAAGGTCTGCTGGATTAGGAAAAAGATTTCTTGCTTGAAACAACGAGTGAAAAACTATAGTCTCACGTTGAAAATGTTCTCACCTTTAAAAATGTATTTTATTAAGAAATAAGCAAAACAAAGATTGAATTGAATTGCCATTTTCTACCTTTAAACTTTGAACTCATATGCTCTACAGTTTCATATTTGAAGTAACCTCTGCTCCAAACACATTGCAAATTATTGAGAAAATTAAAAAGACCTATGTAAAACCTACATCACGTGTGCTCCAAAATACATAAACATGTAGGGAAACCAAACATGTAACAGAAACATGTAAACACATAACAGAAACTAAGTGGAGAGAGAAGGTAAGGGTGTGGGCCTATGAAGCACCCATCCACAAACAGGGAGCACTGAGTAGATCCTGGGCCTCGTGGGGTAAGGTGCAATAGACGTCCTCCACATAAAGCCAACTCCATGCTGAAATCCAGGGGCTACAGCAGCACTTACAGGAGGCTGAAAAAAGCTCCTTTCAGCAGCTGCCAGGGCTCTTGCTTCTAGGAAGCTGTAGGCCAGAAGAGCAAAATTCAACAACACAACCAGCACAGTGGGATCTGAGACAAGCTGCCAGCTGGTTCAGTGACCGGATCAGTAATACACCACATAACACCGCGGGATGAGATCCCTGGACCAGCAGTGTAAGCCTTGGTTCTAAACTGGGGGCTCAGAGAGACCTGAGATGTATGCCTCACAGAAGGTAAAGAGGCCAGGAAGGAGGAAAAAGAGAGAGGAGGAGGGTGGGGGTTGCAGGAGAGGGTGAGGGAGAGGAAGAGACAGAGACAGAGACAGAGACAAAGAGCTCTTCATTCAACGCTAGCCAAAATGCTCGGAGGGATGTGACGGTGAGAAAGAGCCAACTGAACTGACAATCTGCAAAGAAAACCATTCATTCCAGATGAAATTAAAATCATCAAATGGATGGAGAAATAATTTAAGAAAGAATATTTATGACCTTCACAGAGCTAAACGAAAAAGTAATATCCAACTAAAAAGAAATAATCTATGATGAAACCAAAATAGGCAGAACTGAATCAACAACCATTAAATAGCAACAAAAAATAAACAATTAAAAAGTCTTGAAAAAGAATAATACAATCATAGAAATTTACATTAAATAAGCAAAATTTGAATGAACTCTAAACCTCTCAAAAGAATTAAAAAATGCTGAAGAGTTCGCCCAGCGTGCAACATACAGGGATAAATAAAAAACACATGAAACACTCAGGTGAAAGTGTGGAGGTATTGAGACACAACAACGTAAGATTAATAGGAATTCCAGAAAAATAAAATGACAGAATTTGCTCGTCAATTTAAGAAAATTACAGACCAACATTTTGGTCTATTAGTTTTAAAAAAGCCTAAATGTACTGTTAACAAAATCAAATTTAATAGTGTATATAAAAATACACCATGGCCAATCAGTGATTAATATAGGAATTAAGGATGTTTCAACATTTAATATACATTAAAATATTAAAAAGAAAGTTTATTGCTCCAATAAATATTCTAAGGCATTTGAAAAATTTATTATTCATCCATGATAAAAATGTTAGCAAATTGGAAAAAGACAGAACTTCCTTAAGCTCATTAGGGTTATTTATCAAAAACCTCGAGGAGACTCAGAAGTACTTCAGGAATGTTAGAAACAACACTAGGATGCCTGCCTTCACAGCATTCTTATTTGTCAATGTTATAAGAGAAAGAAGTTGCGAATGGTATAATTGCTAAACAAGAGGAAAATTTACAGCTTATCTGCATACAAAAATCTAAGAAAAACCACAAACTAATTACCAGAATTTTAAAAATTCAGGAGAATTACTCATTTGTAATATTAATATCTGAAAATCAATAATGTATCTATAAATCAGCAAAAACAAATTAGGAAAAAAATACAACGGTAGGCAAAATTCTTAGACCCTCACGATTAAATTTAGCAACAGATACGCAAGAATTTTATAGAGAAAATTATAAAACATCATGAAAGCCCATGAAAGAAGATCTGAATAAATGAAAAGTTATACGTGTTTGTGGATTGAAGTCCTCAACCCCATAATGAAGACAATTCCCCCTAAAGATGATGTGACATTCAAATCCATTTTAATCAAAATACCATCAAAGCTTATATAACTTGACAGCATGATCCTAAATTCATTCACAGGCATAAAGACTTAAAAGTCCAAATTTTGAAGAAGGACAACAAGAGGATATTCTTCCGAATAAGATATTTACCTGGCATTAGAATTACCTTACTAGGTATGTCAAGGAGCGGGTATAAGGAAAGGAATGGAGACAAACCAGCGGGATAGAATACAGAGGCCAAATAAAGACAGAGGCAGCACTTCAAAGCACTGAAGAAATGGTGCAAGGATAATTGATTTGTAACTTTATTGGGTTACAAAGTCATGTTAAACTCAATAACTATATGATGAGCTCAACAAGAAAATCATCTTGCTTCTAATAAGCAAGCTTTCTAAAAGCGTTATCATAGTGTAAAACGCTAAGAAAAATTCTGAGTGAGAGTGGTGTACATAAAAGGATATTCCTGCCTCCCGTTTGAAAGATAGACCCCATTTCGAGTTTATAGATCCAAAATAATAGCAATCACCTTTAATGGATTATTTATAGTATCCTTGGTTCAGAATGGGTAGTTCATTAAGTTTGCCTTTATATTTCTCCTAAAAACCCCATTTACTAAAAGATTTACAGTTTCCCCCCACAGTTAAACAAGAGGGCGTTTAACTCTTTCACTGGCTTTGCTTAGTGGTAATCTTTATGTGATGCTCAATATTTAAAATCCCCTCCTTCCTAGAGATTTCGAATTCTGCGGTCTTTCTTTCCACCAAATCAGTGGTTTTTAATCTATTTTTTAAATGCAGTGTCCCATATGTTCACATTTCTACAAGCACAGATAAAATATGTTTCAAATTACACACAAATTTCTGGCTAAAGCTATAGCCCCACCCCTTTTTCACAGCTCCTAACAGCACAGGAGGGTCTCACAACACCCTGGTTGAGAGCCCATACGCTAAATAATCTTATTTATTTACTCCACAAGGAAGAATTTTAAAAACCCAAAATATCTTTTATTTTTTTTCCAAGTACCTTGTGGACATTTTATTATTAAAGCAATTAATTTGGGTAACATAAACTTTGGACTGCTTGAACAAAACAATAAAGTGTTCATGATGGTTCGGTCAAATCAAATACGTTTCTAGGCAAGTCACTTTTTCAGGACAACTTTAAAAGGTGGGAGAGAGTTGCAGTCAAAGTGAGGCCACGAGACAGGGCTTTGAAACAATTCTTTGTGAGTATGTGCTCCCATCCTCACATTACAGAGAAAGACAATCATGCTCATTATATGGTTATAGGTCTTTAGTAGCAGGATTACAAACGGATGCCACACTATGCCGAGCCATGCTATGTTATAGAAACATTAGCATACTGATTAGAGTACCATTCAGAGTGATTTTGGAACGCTATCGTCTCTGCTGCTGCACTGCCTATTTCCACGGGAAGTACATTCATATAAAGCACATATAGCTTTTTTAGATCAACTAGAAAAGAATGCACAATACCACTTAAATCACCTGAAATGGGATTTCTCCAGTCAGATTTATATGGCACAAAGCAAAGTTGAGCACCCGCAGTTACTTTGTAAATTGGGCCTATATCGGCAACCCGAACTCGATGATTCAGCCTGCCACAACTCACAATTGCATTTTATTTTTCAAGATGCTCTAAGATTAAGTCCCTTATCTTGGTGTAAAATGCCTCCTGTTTAGGTATTACAACCCATGTCAGCACCATCTCTAGCACTTATGTTAATCTTATTTGCAATTTGGAAAGAAAACAAACATCAAAGTAAACCATTTTATTTCCCCAAATGACAGGGATCTCCCATTGACATCTTGAAAAACCAATAAATGGGCAGAATGCCCTGCTGCAAACAAAGATAGAAATGAATAAAATTATTTTTGAAATCCATTTTTAGCATTGGCAGATGGTCACAATTGCAGGTTAGCATTATAAAGTATTTCCAGATCTATGACTACCTGCTAACTTTCACTCATCCACTTCAGGCTAGAGGAAAAAAAAAAGTAATAACATAAAAAAGAATTTGAGAGGCGCTTATACCCTTGAATGAGCACATCTGCAGGACTGGATTAATCCATTGTACCTTGCATTCATCGTGCTGTGTAACTCAGAAAGCTGCCTCCATGGTAGTTTAACCAAGCCAACATTGAACGGAATTCATTACTCAAACAATAAAGAAAAAAATTTGATTCCTAGGATGTCTCAAAGCAAAGCAAGCAACCTTAATGCAGCGTATTTTACAAAAAATTTTCTCATATTCATAAAAACAGAACAAAATAACTCCTCAAAAACACTGCTTACATATCATACTTAGAAATTCAGCATCAAAATGTTAAAAAACTAGCAATTGTTGTGAATAAATGTACATATGTTTTTTATAAATTACTTCCCTCTGAATAGAGTTGGCTGAAGAGCTTTAATGAAAACATCCTTTCTCTTCTTTCTGATGTGGACTCTCCGATGAGACCCTAAATGTATTTATATCGCCACACAGGAATTTTAGGGCATACCCTAATTCCATTCCTTTTATTTGATACAATTAAAAATGAGGATATAAATGGTGCATGTAAAGAAACTTACCAGTGAAAAGCAGAAGAGATTCATTATGGTCAGCTTCAGTCCCCTGTTGCCGTGCTTTCAGGAACAGGACTGCCCCTCCCAGCTCTCTCTTGCCTTCACAGTTGTTTGGACAGTTCTCATGGGAGATTATTACAAAGTAAAGCCCCTGCCATAATCCAGGGGATTCCGAGACCATTACCAAATGAGACAGGTCTTAACTGAACAAACAATTTTCTAAATTAATGAGGAACCCTGACTAATAAAATGAGAGAATGAGACTTACCATCATCTGTGTAAACAGATTTCAAAGGTGGCATTAATATTTCTTAAATCTGGAGGAAAAAGGCAGTGAAAACAACCATCGGCCTAGCTAACTAAATTGAAAATACATAGAAAATCCTGAAGAAAATATCATCCTTCAATATAAAAGTAACACCTTCCCTTCAAAGGTGGGGGTTCAAGGCTCTGCCCCACGCACCTCCCCATCTCCCATCTCTTTTCTCTTCCATTAATTAAAGAAAATTTGGATCTCTTATACGACAAGTTCCTGAGATAAGCACTTTTTCATGGTGGTAAAATATACAGAACATAAAATTTACCATTTTAATCAATTTTAAGTGTACACTTTTGTGGCATTAAGCATATTCACACAGTTGTGTAACTTTTACCACCATGCATCTCCAGAATCTTTTCATCTTGCAAAACTGAAGCTCTGTACCCATTAAGCACTAGCTCCCCATTCCTCCCCCGCCCCAGCCCCTGGCACCACCATTCTACTTTCTGTCTCTATGAATTTCACTATTTTAGATACCTCGTATAAGTGGACTCATACAATATTTGTCCCTTGGTGACTTACTTATTTTACTCAGCATAATGTCTTCAGGGCTCATCCATATCACAGTATGTGTCAAAATTTCTTTCTTTTTTAAGGCTGAATAATGTTCATTGTATGTGTATACTGTGTTTTGTTTATCCATTCATATGTTGATGGACACTTGGGTTGCTTCCTTCTTTTGGCTGTTGTGAATAATGCTGCTGTGAACACGGGTGTACAAATATCTGTGTCTCTGCTTTCAGTTCTTGTGGGTATATACCCAGAAGTGGAACTGCTGGAAAGTTAAATTTTTATCTTGCAAATATCTTCTTCAGGTGGTCCTGGACTTATTTTTCCTTTAAATCACATTTATTTCTAATATCTTTGGAAAAGGCATCTACAGTTGTCCCTTGTTCTAATTAGGAATACCTAGAGAGTTGCATTGGCACCTTGTGTTTAATGTTATCAGTTAAGAATGCTTTGAGTTCCAAGTAACAGACCACAAGATTGAGAGTGCTTACTGAGGAAGAGTTATTCTTCTCATATAAGAATTCTTCTGTGGACTGACAATTGTTGCTATCCATGCAGAAGGTCAGCAAGGTCAGAGTCATGGTCACTGTCTGCAATCTCCTTGCCCTTCCCTTCATGGTCTGAAGATGGATGCAGAAGCTCAGAGCCTTAAGTGCTCATGCAGTGGCTTCCAGAGGAAAGACACGTCATCTGCTCCAATGTCAAGCAGCCCTGATGTTTGGCTGCCTTTCCATTATTCCTCCCGACAGTCTCAGTACCCCGTAAGTTTCTCTATTTCTGCATACCTTCTCAAGTTAGTACTTTGGGGGAGTGTTATTTAAGGCATATTTTGAGAAGACGTAATATTAAAATTTAATCAAAGTCAGATGAAACTATAACTTTGAGTCTCTTCCTTATAGTCTCTTTTAGGAGCTATATTATCTCAAGTCCCAATATTTAAAAAAAAAATTGACGATGACATTTTCACACACACTCAAAAGCAGAGTTCAATAAGCCCTCCATATTCCTATCACCTATATTCAAAAATAATCAAGATCTTCCAACAGTTGCTTCATCTATTCCATTTTATCTTTATCATTTTTCTTTGCTGCTAAAGTATACTAAACCCCAGACATCATGTCATTTCACTCCTACACACTTCACTTTGTATCTTAAATTTTTTTGACATTTTCTTCAATAATCAGAGAGCCATTGCTACACTTAAAAATTATTCCTTGATAACTTAAAATACCTCCCTGTGTCACTCCCCCAACAGAGACATGGAATCTATTCCTCCAATCCCTTGAATGTGGGCTGAAGCTGTGACTACACCGATAAATGGAACATGGCAGAAGTATCACTGTGCTAGATCGAAGCCTACCCTTTAAGAGGACTGCCAGCTTCCATTTCCTCCTTCTTGGAACCCAGCCATGCTACTGTGAGGAAGCCCAAGCAGCACATGAAAAGAGCTGCAGGAAGTAGAATCGAGGGCTCCAGCGACAGCCCCAGCTGCTCTCCAAGTTGACAACCAGCAGCAGAGTGCTAGCCCTGTGAGTGAGGCCATCTGGGAAGTAAATCCTCAAGTCCCAGACAAGCCACACTAAGTATGCCAATGGAGCAGAGAGCTGTCCCCCAGGGACCTGACCTAATAGCAAAATGGTGAGAAAGTAAATTATCGTTGTTTTAAGCCACTATATTCTGGGGTGGTTTGTTATGTGACTAGGTGGCCAAAGAACTTTCCATAATTAAATTCCCTATTGATCTTAACAACCAAAAAAGTATCTTTTCATTTGCTCTATTTGAATCAAGATCCAAACAAGAAAGGACCAGATGGCACATTTGGTTATCATGTTTCTTAAGTCTCTTTAATCTAGAACTTCTTTCTCTCTGTCTCCCTGTCTCTCTCTCTCTCTCAATTTCTCTCTCTCTCTTTCTCTTCCTTGCCACTAACTTGTGGCAGAAATTAGCACCTGTAAAATATATCACGTTCAGAATCTTTTCTGCTTCTTTGTGTATCATTTAACTTATTCTTCTACCGCTGGTATTTCCTATAAATGGAAATCAGCTCTTTCCTTCAGATAGAAATTGGTTAGATTCCGAATCAATTTTTTGCAAGAACATTTCAGGATGGTGTTGGATGTAGTACATAGTGTCAAATCAGGAGGCACTCGATATTTCCCTCTTTTGCTGACCCTAAGATACTTTCATCTATTGATTACCCAAACTTAAATGAGTTATTTCATTAGGAGCTACGAAATAATGTTTTTTAAAGTTGTATGAGTCATCCCACCTTAGTTAGCTGGAAAATTTTGTAAAGTTAGAAATTTCTCTCATCAGCTGGTGCTATGATTAACCTAAAATACAGTACATGATGAAAAGGCAAGATGTGACAATTTCAGAGTAAGGAATTAATACTCCAGTTATTTTTTCAATGGCATCCAATGAATTGTTTATTATTTTTCTCCCCCCTTTCTTCTTCCTCTCCCTTTATCATGACATTATGAGCTTACAGACGTTTATATATATAATGTGCTTCAGTTAATACTTTCATATTCTTCTTGATACCCAGTTTTGTCCTATCTTTGGCCATTGAAAGCCTTTCAGCAAATGTGTTCTAGCAAAGAGGAGCTTACTGTTCTTTGAGCTTCTTGAATTCTAGCCCAACAGGAAGTCCCAGGCTCATTCTGTATATTTTCTTCTTCAGTTCTAGAGTTAAGCATTCATCCAAGGAAAGCCAAAATCTTTCAACAGTTTCTGAAAGGCCAAATCTAGGTGCCAGGGCATTTTGCTGCTCTTTTTTTCTCTCTGATTTTCATTTGCTTGTTTCAAGATACCACTTATTTTCCACATATCCAGCCCTGCGTATGTGTAATGATTAGAGAACTTATTGTTCAAACCCACCTACTGGTGGGACAACTGAGGGTCAGAGATGACTCCTTGTAGTCCTTTGTTATATGCACCCAGTCTTTAAGGGAGGAGGTGGCTATTGGAGGACTCTAAAGATAATACTGTAGTATCCAACTTTTTAAATCTTTGTAAAAAAATTGTTTCTCTGTACTTATTCTCCAACTTGAAATTTTCTTGACTCCTGTGCCTGGCAGAGACAATAAAAACAGTAAAATATCCTAAAATTTATTTTGCAAAAGGTCTCCAAGTTGTTTTAAATTACACCAGGACACCCACTCTCCAAAAGTCATTGCTAATTCAAAGAGGAGAACAGGTCCTGGTAAGCACAGCAAATGCCCCTATTGCCTCTCCTCACATCCTTCTCTTTTCATGTAGTGAAAATTAACTATCTTTTATTTATTTCCTCTGCAGGAAAAATTCCTGTACATTGTAAGATGACAATTACTTTTCATTACAACAAGTATTTATCATGATAGTGTGCAAAGAGCATAAGCTTGGGAGCCAGACAGACCTGCATTAAATTCAGTAACTTACTATGAAACCTTTGACAAGTCACCTAACTTCTCTGAATGCCAATTTCCACTTCTATAAAAAGGTGATGATGATAGAATCTGTCTTAAAGTCTTTTTATATAAATTGATACCAATGTATGTAAAGTGAATTCCAGGAAGAATTCAGCAAACTGTTATTACGAATTTGTTTGGTCACTTCTTCCAATTAAAGTGCATACCAAGAACAGCCACTAAATTTTACTGTCTCGCTCAAAAAGAAGGAAGGAAGTGTGTCATGGCCCAGGTGCATCACAGCAAAACCCACAAGATCTGGATTCTACACCTAGCCCTAGAACGAAGGAACTCAGTAAAACAGACTTTCAAGCTCAAAGGGTTTTTCAGCTTCTTTCTTTACAAAACGAAAGTGATAGAGTTAGTCTTTCTCAACGTTTTTCACGTAACAGCACAAAAAACAAATGGAAGTTTCCTCAAGGCCCCACCAGTCACTTCAAGTTCCAAGGAGATGATATGCCAACACACACATAACCATTCTGGGCATATCAGCATGTCACCACACCCCGGGGGGAAGTTCTGGTCTGGAGGATAGTTAAAGTCCCTTCAGCGCATGACATCTGTAATAGAAAAAATGGTAAAATTAGAGTGGGAGAGAGGAAAAATCTTTCAAGCTAGATAGAGGTAAAGCTAATCTTTATATTTAAATCTTATGGACTGCTGCATGAAATTACAGTACAGACAATTCTGAGACCCCACCAAAACCTTCCTTAAATTAGACTGAAATAATTACAAATCATATAATCCTCTGTATGGCAAAGGAAAGT